AGAACTGTGACCAGTGGTGTTCCACAGGGATCCGTGTTGGGACCACTGTTGTTTGTGATATACATAAATGATCTGGAGGAAGGTATAGATGGTCTGTTTAGCAAGTTTGCAGATGACACTAAGATTGGTGGAGTAGCAGATAGTGAAGGGGACTGTCGGAGAATGCAGCAGAATATAGATAGATTGGAGAGTTGGGTGGAGAAATGGCAGATGGAGTTCAAGCCAGGCAAATGTGAGCTGATGCATTTTGGAAGATCCAATTCAAGAGTGAACTATATGGTAAATGGAAAAGCTCTGGGGAAAATTGATGCACAGAGAGATCTGGGTGTTCAGGTCCATTGTAACCTGAAGGTGGCAATGCAGGTGGATAGAGCGGTCAAGAAGGCATACGGCATGCTTTCATTCATTGGATGGGGTATTGAGTACAAGAGTTGGCAGGTCATGTTACAGTTGTATAGGACTTTGGTTCGACCACATTTGGAATACTGTGTACAGTTCTGGTCGCCACGTTACCAAAAGGATGTGGATGCTTTGGAGAGGGTGCAAAGGAGATTCACCAGGATGTTGCCTGTTATGGAGGGCGCTAGCTATGAAGAGATGTTGAGTAGATTAGGATCATTTATATTAGAAAGATGGAGGTTGAGGGGGGACCTGATTGTGGTCTACAAAATCATGAGAGGTATATACAGGGTGGATAGCAAGAAGCTTTTTCCCAGAGTGGGGGACTCAATTACTAGGGGTCACGATTTCAAGGTGAGAGGGGAAAAGTTTAAGGGTGATATGCGTGGAAAGTTCTTTACGCAGAGGGTGGTGGGTGCTTGGAACGTGTTGCCAATGGAGGTGGTAGAGGCGGGCACGATAGCGTCACTTAAGATGTATCTAGACAGATACATGAATGGGCAGGGAGCAGAGGGATACAGATCCTTGGAAAATAGGTGACAGGTTTAGATAGAGGATCTGGATCAGTGCAGGCTTGGACGGCCAAAGGACCTGTTCCTGCGCTGTAATTTTCTTTGTTCTTTCTTCTTTATTCAGTTAATTCCTGCCTTGGAAATCTCCCTATAACTGTGCAAATTCCTCTTGCAATCATATTTATCAAATTTCCTTTGAAATGTTTGAATCTGCTTTCACCATCCTCCAGATCTGCGCACCTCAACGCGTGAAACAGTTTTGCTATACTCATTTTTTGCTCCTCTTCTTCATAAAAATAACATCTGCCAATACCCTCCTAAACATGCCTTGCAGGAGAAAACAGAGTGTTTCTGCATATATCAAGACCACTCTCCGGGTCAAACAGGGACCATCCTGACAGCAGCCTTCAGTTTGCCAGAGAGCCTGCGGTGAAAGCAAGAGTTCAACTCAATTCTGCTGGATATCAGGACAAAGCAACTCACAGCTACTGGACTGGCAATGTGAAAATAGAGTCTGCGCTCTTGTCTCATGCTAACCACAGCCTAGGTGAGGAAACCTCTGCTTGACTAGAATGAGCCATGAGTGAGTGGGTCTCCACACAGTGGCCAACACAGCAAACACATGACAAAGCAAACAGCAATGGAGATGGAGAAGCTCAGGTCACTGCAGACCCAGAGGAGGGAACAAGAGGCACCAGAATAATTCTGTGCTCCTGAGTTTGCAGCAAGGGACTGTACGGGGAATGGTTAGTGAGTGTAAGGGAAGGGCATTAAAAGAGAAGATTAGTTAAACTTTCAAACCCTGGAGCCTGTTCGACACCATTCTCATTTCAAGGGGAAAGATGACGACTGTCAGCAAAAGTCAGTGGCTGTGTGAGGAGCATGTACTTAGGGGATACATTGTAAGGAAGAGTTTATGAGATACTGCAAGTTACTAAGGGGTAGAGTTTAGGGGCAGAGTGAATGAATTAACAGTTTGGAGAAGTGTGATCAAGTGAGAGTTTGCTAGCAAAGTCATTTCTCAAAGAGGCGTGTAGGGGACAGTCTGTGAAAGTTAATGAGTGGAAGGGTTTAGGGAAAGACTCAGTAAGAGCCAGCACAGGGAGATTAGAATAGGCAGGGGTTCAGGGTGATTTTTTAAAAATTTGTCATTAGGTGTGGCACAGTGGTTGAGTGGTTAGCACTGCTACCTCAAAGCACCAGTGAACCAGGTTCAATTCCACCCTCAGGTGACTGTCTGTGTGGAGTTTGCACATTCTCCCCGTGTCTGCGTGGGTTTCCACTGGATGCTCTGGTGTCCTCCCACAGTGCAAAGATATGTAGGTTAGGTGGATCAGCCATGGCAAATGCAGGGTTACAGGGATAGGGTAGGGGTGTAGGTCTGCATGGGATGCTCTTTGGGGGTTTGGTATGGTTTGCTTCCACATTGTAGGGGTTCTAGGAGATGTTTGGGCCAGCATTTGTTGCCCTTGAGAAAGTGACGTTTAGCTGCCCTCTTGAGCCATTGCAGTCTATGTGCTGTAAATAGATTCTCAATGCTGTTGGGAGGGAACTTAAGTATTTTGACCCAGCAACACTGAAGGAACGGCGATATGTTCCTGAGTCAGGATGGTGAGTGGCTTGGAGGGGAACGTGCGGGTGGTTAGTAAGGGTGGGGTTGGGGACAGTTCTTGTAGGGACGTGGTGGTCAGTAGACCGTATCGAGAGGAGTATAGTGGGTTGGTAGAGAATGAGAGAGGGAAGGATTAGGGATGTACTTTCAAGGGAGAAGTGATATAAAAGTAAAGACACCGTAGTCCTCAGAGAGAAATGACTCATGGATGTTTAACCTGAGGGTCACCACACCTCAGACAAGGCAAAGGTTGAGATGGAGACTCATTCATGGGAACTTCAGCCGATGTGAAAATTGAACCCAAGTTGTTGGTATCCCTCTGTATCACAATTCAGCTGGCCAGCTGACTGAGCTAACTGACCCCCAGGGATGGCAGGGACAAGTGGGAATGGCAGAACTAGTCAAGCGGAGGATATGTTCAGATAGAGAAAGGGTTAACCTGAGAGGATTTACTGGTTTGTATTGATGCAACAAGAGCTGTGCTCCACTGAGTCATATACCATTTCAGAAAGTTAGACACGATGCTGCAGACAAGATCTGCCACCTACAGGAGAGATCATATAGTGCTTAGCACCAAACAGAGAGAGCTCCCCATTGATCAGAGAGAGAGAGAGCGAGGGAGGGAGAGAGAGAGAGAGAGAGAGGGAGAGAAAGAGTGAGAGAGAGATCCCTGTTGATCAGAGAGAGAGAGAGATAGAGCCCTGCATTGTTCAGAGACAGAGAGACACTGGGAGAGAGAGAGAGATTCCCATTGCTCAGAAACAGAGAGAGAGAGAGAGAGAGAGATCCCCATTGATCAGAAACAGAGAGAGACAGAGAGACCTCCACATTGATCATAGAGAGAAACTACACGCCATTGATCAGAGTGAGACCGTCATGTATTAGAGAAGAACTGAAGACTGCAAGCATCTGTAGGCCACTTGGTCCCTTAAACCTGCTCTAACATTCAACTGATCATTGTTGATCTGACTGAGACCTATAACCCATTTTCCTTCTTTCCCTTCCATAAACCCTCCAATCCCTTGTGATAACTCAGCATTGACATATTCAGTGGTTGCAGGGAGATGGAATTCTAAAGGCCAACTCTCATTTTTAAACCATACACCCTTCTTTCTAGATTTCCCCATGAAGGTAAACATTCCATGCTGTCCAACCCTGTTAGAATGCTACATACTTCATTAAGAGCACCTCTCATTTTTTGAACCACTAATGAGCACAGGCCCAACCTGCTCAGCCTTTCCTCATAACACAAACCTAGGAATCAACAGAGTGAACCTTCTCTGAATTGCCTCCAATGCAAGTATATTGCATCTTAAGTAAGAAGGCCAAAACTGAACATGGCACTTGTTGTGCAGTATATACTGTATGCACCATACAGTAGGAACAAGACTTCCCTGTTTTATATTTTATTGTCCTTCCAATAAAGACCAGCATTTCATTTGTCTTCCAGTTACTTGCTTTACCTGCATTCTTACTCCTTGTCATTATTGTACCAGGACACTCAAATCCTCCTGTACCTATCTTTGTATCGTCAGCAAATTTGTTTACAATGCATTCAGTCCTATCATTTTATTATTCTTAAGCCTGTAAACAGATGAGGCTGCTGTAATGATCCCTTGCAAAATAACTGGTTACAGTTTGCCAACCTGAAATTGTCCAAATATTCTGACTCCCATTCCTGCTGTCAGTCCTGACTGCCTGTCCAATTCAATGCAAAGTCTGTTCATTGACAGACTGTCTTCGTCAGTGTGTAACCTATTGACTGACTACCTGTTATAGTCAGTGTCTAACCTGCTCACTGACTCCGTTTGAATCAGTGTGTAACTTATTCACTGACCGCATTCCTATTCAATGCATAATCTGATAACTGATGGCCTGTTTTACTCAGTTTGTAAACTTTTCATGAACTGCTTGGCCTACCCTGGTGTAACCTGTTCACTGACTGCCTGTCATACTCACTGTGTAACCTGTTCACTGACTGCCTGATGTACTCACTGTGTAACCTGTTCACTGACTGCCTGTCATACTCACTGTGTAACCTGTTCACTGACTGCCTGACGTACTCACTGTGTAACTTGTTCACTGACTGCCTGTCATACTCACTGTGTAAACTGTTCACTGACTGCCTGTCCTACTCTCTGTAACATGTTCATTGACTGCATGTCCTATAAAGCGTGTATCCTGTTGACACACTGCCTGTTATACTCACGTGTAACCTGTTTACTGCCTGCATGTTTTACTCAGTGTGGAACCTGTTCACTGACTGCCTGTCCTATTCAGTATGTAACCTGTTCACTGCCTGTCCTACTCAGTATGGAACCTATTCACTAACTGCCTGTCTTACTCAGTGTGTAACCTGTTCACTCACTGCCTGTCCTACCCAATATGTAATCTATTCACTGACTTCCTGTTCTACTCAATGTGTAATCTATGCACTGACTGCCTGTCTTACTGAATATGTAACATGTTCAGTGACTGCTTGTCCTCAGAGCTTAACCTAATTCCTGGCAGTTGTCCCACATTGTTTGCAACCTGTTCACTGACTGTCTGTCCTATTTTCATAATCATAGATTTAAACAGAACAGAAGATGCCCTTCAGCCCATCAAGTTTGCGCTGCGCTATCTACACTTGTCCCACTTTCTAGCACTTAGTCCATAGCCTTGAATTTTGTGACAAAGCAAGTGATTATCTACGTACTTTTTAAGGCTTGTTAGTTGTCCTGCCTCAACTACCTTCGAGACAGTGCATTCCCAGCCCCCACCGTCCTCTGGGCAAAAATATTTTTCCTCAAATCCACTCTAAACATTTTTCCCTTCACTTTAAAATGACAGCCTCTTGTTATTGACCCTTCAGCTAAGGGGAACAGCTGCTCTCTATTCACCCTGTCCATGCCCTTCAGGATCTTATACACCTCACTCAGGTCCATCCTAAACCTGCTCTGCTCCAGCCTCTCTCCATAGCTGAACTACTCCATCCCAGGCAACATCTTGGTAAATTTCCTTTGCAGTCCCTCCAATGCAATCACATCCTTCCTATAATGTGGTGAGCAGAATTTTTTTAAAAAAAATCATTAACAGGATGTGAACATCAGTGGTCAGGCCAGCACTTATTACCCATTCTTAATTGTCATTAAGGGCAGTTGTGGGTGTGGAGTCACATGTGGGCCAAATCCTTCTGGAGACAGTCTGCTGTCACATGTGGGTAGGTTTCCTTCCCTGAAGGACATTAGTGAAGCATATGGGTTTTTCCAACAATCAGCAATGGTTTCATGGTCACCAGTAGAGTCTTCATTCCAGATTTTTAAAAATTGAATCCAATTTCCACCATCTGCCATGATGGGATTTGAATCTGGGTCTCCAGATAAATCCTGGAATCACTGGATTAATAATCTAGTGATAATACTACAATTGGTATTAACTCCCCCACTGCAGACAGTGTGGTAAGCTGTGACATAACCAACGTTCTGTACAGTTCCAACATGACCTCCCTGCTCTTGTAATCTATGTAATAACTGAAATGTGTGGAGTTTGCACATTCTCCCCATGTCTGCATGGGTTTCCTCCGGGTGCTCCGGTTTCCTCCCACACTCCAAAGATGTGCAAAGTAGGTGGATTGGCCATGCTAAATTGCCCATAGTGCCCAGGGATGTTTAGGATAGGTGGGTTAGACATGGGAAATCAGGCGTAGGATAATGGGTCTGGGTGGGATGCTCTTCGGAGGGGCGGTGTGGACTTGTTGAGCTGAATGGCCTGTTTCCACACTGTAGGGATTCTATGAAAATGTCCTGTATGCCTTCTTACTTATTAACACTGACCTGCCACCTTCAGTTATCTGTGGACAAGCACCCTAAGATCCTTCTGTTTCTCCTAGATTTCTAGTGTTCTACCATTCATCAAGTATCATAGGAACAGAAGATAGGGGCAGCTTCAAGCCGACACCGCCATTCAATTTGATCAAGGTTGATCATGCAATCTCAGTATCCCACTCCCACCCTCTCCACATACCCCTTGATCCCTTTAGCCACAACATCCATGTCTTGAATATACCTAAAGAAGGGCCCCGACAACTTTCTGTGGTAGAGAATTCCCACAGGTTCACTATTCTCTGAGTGAAGAAATTCTTTCTCATCTCAGTCTGGAACGGCTCACCCCTTATTCCTAGACTGTGACCCTTAGTTCTGGACTTCTTCAACATCTGGAACATTTCTATAAATTCCTGATGGAATTCCTTATTCTTCTAAATTCCAGTGATTACAAGCCCAGTCGATCCAGTCTTTCCTCATACGACAGTCCTGCCATCCTGGGAATCAGTCTGGTGAGCCTTCACTGGATTCCCTCAATAGCAAGAATACTCCCTTGTATTCCAGAGTTCATCAGTTCACATTTATCAGGTTTAAATTCCAATTGCCACTGATTAGCCCATCTAATCAACCTGTCTATATCTTTCTGTGGCCTAACTTGGAGGCTTGGAGGGCCGAAGGGCCTGTTCCTGTGCTGTAATTTTCTTTGTTCTTTGTTTTTAACACTTTCCTCTTCATTGATAATCACCCAGCCAGAGTGGCTATAGAGGAATTAATAGCGATCACAACAATTCAACCGTGATTCAAATGAATTCAATCTGCTATGAAAAAGGAAAAAGAAGGTTTGCAAGAAAGGGATTTGGATTGGAGGAAGGCAGATTTTAATTGAAATAAAACAGGGTATGGCCAAAGTAGACAAGGTTCAACTACTTGAGGGGTAAATCTACAGCAGAACAGGGGGCATTCAATTAGGAAATGGGAAGAGTACAGGTTCAACATGTTCCCTATGGATGTCTAGGAATACTCGGGACTGGATAAAAGGAAAATAGAGGTGTATAACAAGTACAAAAGGATCAAATCTACAGAGGCATTAGCGAAGTAAAGGAAATGCAGGGGGTAACTTAAAAAAACAATTAGTGGAGCAAAGGGCAGCATGAGAAAACACTGGTGGGTAAAGTTAGGGAGAATCACAAGTTATTCTATCAGTATATCCAGGGGAAGACAAAGAGCAAACCCCATTAGGGACCAAGAGGAAAGTGTGTGCGTGGAGCCGGAAGACATTGGTAGAGTATTAAACAAATGCTCCATTTCTGTCTTCACTCAGGAAAAGGAGGATTGGGGTTACAGAATTCGGGAAGAGGGACTGAGGTGTTTGAGTAGAGTGATCCAAGAAGCAAGGAGGTATTGGAGGCATTGGACAGATCCACAGGTTTGGATGAGTTGTATCCCAGACTGCTGTGGAAGATGAAGGAAGAAATTACAGGGGCTCTAACCCAGATTTGTAATTCTTCTCTGGCAAGAGGGGAGGTGTCAGAGGATTTTAGGATGGCTAATGTAGTTCCACTTTAAAGACCAGGGAACCATAGACTAGTGAATCAGTGGTAAAGAAACTAGCGTAAAAAATTCTGAAGAAAATAATTAATCTCCACTTACAGAGGCAGGATTTGCTCAGGGATAGATAGCATGGCTTTGTCAGAGGGATGTCATGCCGAACAAATTTGTTTGAATTTTTCGAGGTGGTGATCAGGTGAGTAGACAAGGGTAGGGCGGTTAATGTAGTTCATATAGATTTCAGCAAAGCCTTTGGTAAGGTCCCACATGGCAGACTGATAAAGAGGGTAAAAGATGCAGGGTGACTTGGCAAATTGGCTCCAAAATTAGCTTATGACAGGACACAGAAGGTGGTGATGGAAGGCTGTTTATGTGACTGGAAGCCAGTATCCAGTGGAGCGTACAACAGGGATCATTCCTGCGTCCCATTTTGTTTTTGACGGCCTGTGTGCACAACCTGTTCATTGACTGCCTGTCTTATTGAGTGCATAAGCTTTTTGTTGACTGTCTGGACTGTTCAGGGTATGTCCTGTTCAATGACTGCCTGCCTTATTCAGTGTCTAACCTCCTCACTTATTGTCCCTCCTGTTGAATGTACTTTCTTTCAGGGGAGCAACATCGAGCAAAACGTAAGAAGGGTCCGGCTCCGAAGATGCTGGGGAATGAAGTATGTAGTGTGTGTGGAGACAAGGCTTCAGGCTTCCATTACAATGTGCTCAGCTGTGAGGGCTGCAAGGGTTTCTTCAGACGCAGTGTGATCAAGAGTGCCCAATATTCCTGCAAGAACAATGGAGAGTGCCAGATGGATATGTACATGCGCAGAAAGTGCCAACAGTGCCGACTACGCAAGTGTCGGCAGGCAGGGATGTTGGAGCAATGTAAGTCAATGAAAACGGAGGAGCAGCTATCTACGCACACAACACAAACATCAACAAATGAGCGACTAACTGAGTGACACCAGTCAGTGTACAGATATCTCCCTAAGAGACAGGGGACTGAGAGA